CCCCCCCCCTACCTCTCCTCGTTGTAACGCTGTTGGAAAACGCTCGACCTCGACTTTCAGCTTCACCCAACCCATCACTATCGGACCACGAGCAAGCAGTACAGTACACGTTACCTGCCCTTCCACCTTCCACCTTCCACCTACAAATCCCGTCATATCTCATATCTCAGCTCCGCAAGGCGGCAATTCACTCCACCCAAGCGCAGCGCAGCTTAGGGTTGTTACTTTAGTGTCAGGCCCCCAATCCTTCTTGCACAACCCGCAACCTCGCATGGAACGAAGGCTATTCTAACGCCCACTCCAACCCGCCCAAAGGTTAACCATATAATTGACCTCAGCATGGCACTGTCATCTCCCCCACGGCCGCTCTTCGAACCCGATGTCCTCCCCTCCAACACCACCTCCGAAATCGACCTCGCGCCTGCACTCTCCTCCTCAGGTGCGCTTGCGCGCTTCGAATTTGAGGCCGGAAGAGGCAATGAAGGGACCAAGATCCTAATGGTGGAATGGGAGGTCGAGGACGAAAGCGACGTGAATATTTGTGCCGGCGATTGGGAAATCTCCTGGGATGGAAAAAGTACCCTATTACCAGCCAAAGCGGGCGCGGAGGGAAAACTACATCGCTTGTATTTCCTACTTGCTCCCAATGCCATGGTACCGCGGATAGTCAGGTTGTCTCAAAGGGGGGGGAAGGAGATGCAGACGAATCCTTTGCCGGCCATCTTTCCCGCGGAATTGGGAGTGAGTGCCACGACGGCCGGGAAGAAGGGTGTGCTGCATACCATTTATGCCAAGCAGCGACTTTCGGTCTTGCAAAAGGAGATTGAGGCTGAGATGAAGAATGGTGAAGGGGTGGGACTCGAGATGGCGATCCAGGAAAAGCAGTGGCTGGAGGAGAATTTCGGAGTTGGGAATCGAGTGGTGGTCGAGGGAAATCCTACGAGTCCTGCGAGTCCCAGGTCTCCTGGTGGTGGTCGATTGGCGGAGAAGCTCAAGGGTTTAAAGTTGGGTACGAGCGCGAGTCAATTGAGTAATGTTTCGACGATTGGTATGTCATGTTTTACCCCTGGTTTTCCCTTTAATCTTGAAGAAGTCGCTAATTCTTCGTAAACAGAAACCCCTTCCAGATTTGAAAACCAAGAATCACATCCCCTCTCCCCCGAAATGGGTGACGTAGCAGTCTCTTCCTTCGCCCTTTTCCATAGTGCCTCTGCTCCTCGACCACCTCGAATCGTCGCACAGAGTCCACCAGATCATCTTCTTGCCAGACAAGCTGACTCACTCTCTGGAAGTCGAATAAACTCTCTAGACGCCATCACTACAGGTACCGTCCCAGTCAAGGAAGATAATGCCACGGAAGATGATCTTTTTGCTGTGAAAATGAGTCCCCGGAGTCCGGAGATGACGAAGAGTCCATTTAGTTTTACGAGTAAAGATACGGCACCTTGGTTGAAGGAGGGTCAGTGATCATTGTGAGGGGAGCTGGGAAAGGATGTGTAGGTGAGGATGTAGATGGGTGTTTATGGATTGGATGGGGGATATGTGAGGAGGTTTGGTCGTGTGGGATGAAATGATGGTAGATTGGGGAAAGAAGTGGTAAGGAATGGATATGAAAGGAAAGGAAATGATTTAGTAGGTATTCTTGGATTGGGATGGAATGAATTGGATGGGAGTGGTTTGATGAGATTTAATTATCATCCCTACTCTTTATACCCCCCCTTCTGGAAATAAAATCTTTGGGGGTTTTCTGTTCCCTCTTTCTTTTTCTGTGTTACACTTGCAGATCTTCATCGTCGTCTTTTTCCTCGTTCTGACAGAAAGGGGGATGGAATGGTCGTTTACACTTCTTCATTAGGAGTATACACCATACTCCGATACGAGGGATGTGCCTTTTTATATCCTCCGCAAATACAGATCCACCCCTATCCCCAGCCTCAGTGGGTGGGAATTCCTGTTTCTTTATCTTTTACTTATACTGTACTGTAAGAGGTTGACCTTCGGTAGTGGAAGGACAGACCAGTTTTTTGTTCTGAAATCCCACTTTTGAAGCCTTTACTTCTACATATCTTGGTCAAATCAGGTTGTTATGACAGACAGACCCTTCAAGATTCTTGTATAGATAAAGCCCTCCTACCCTCCATTTCTTTCTCACATACTTCCCTCCAAGTGAAGCGGCACTCCCCGAGTATGGAGTAGGACCCTCACACCCCACTGGTCGAATCGAGTTCCCTTGAAATGAAAGAATCGAAATGGCTTTGTTCTCGATACAGTACCACCCACCTCCCACCAATGAACAATGGACCTTGTTATGTTTGTGTGGTGCGCCCTTCTATCCACATCCACATCTCTTCCACTCACCAGGACCTAGGCATTGGGAATTCCGGGTGGTTTGTCATTGGGGGAGGGGGGGAGATAACGGGTGTTTGAATCGGTTTTAGGTGAGGGTTTTCTTGTTTTTTGGTAGCGGTGGGTGATGGGTGATGGATGATGGATGGATGGATGGTTGGATGGATGGAGGGGTAGGTGGGTGGGAAGTGTGTGTTGGGGTTGTATGCAGCGGAGGTTTTTCTGTTTCGTCTGTGGTGGTGGAGGTATATATAGTCCATATCTCTTAATTTTCTTTTCTCTCTCCTCTTCTATCTTTCTATTCTTCATTGCTACTTCAGAAGTTGTATCTGTATCTGTCTTATTCCCAGAATAAAATGAGGTTCTCCCAAGTCTCCGCTTTGGTCCTGGGGGTACCTATAGTGACAGCATCCGCATATTCAAAACGCCAAAACAGCACCACAGAAAAGCGCTACGCAATCCTAGACAACGACTGGTCCCCCGCAGGATCCATCCCCTTCCTCATGGCCCTCGACGCCGGAATCGAAATCCTCGGTCTCGCATCTTGTACCTCTCCCTCCCATCCCTTCCCCCACAACACAAGAAAAAAGTATAACCACCTCGCTAACATAAACAGCAACCTCAAATACCTGGCAGAAACAAACCGCCTACCACGCCCTCTCCACCCTTGAAGTAGGGAACCTCTCCTCTTGTATACCAGTCTACTACGGTGCCACACACCCGCTCATCAACACACCAACCCTTTTTCAGGCATGGGAATCTATCCACGGTTCTCTCCCATGGGAAGGCGCATTCAAAAAGTACAACGCTACGGCTGAAGAATTAGGTGCTGATCCAACTTCTGGATCGGATCCGAATCGTATCTCTAAAGGCGCGTTTGTACAGGGCTTTCCGAATGTGACGGCCGTGGAGGGGACGAGTGCGGCGGCAATGATGGTGCGGATGGTGAGGAGGTATCCTGGACAAGTGAGTATTTATGCGGCGGGCGCGTTGACGAATGTTGCCCTTGCGGTGAGGATGGATGATGGGTTTGCGGGGTTGGCGAGGGAGTTGGTTGTTATGGGGGGGTACGTGGATGTTAATTTGTTGCAGGTGTGTTTTTTCCTCTCTCTCTCTCTCTCTTTCTATCAAGCTCGTCCATTTCCATTTCATTTCTCTCCGTTTTTCTGTCGGGGAGAGTTGATACTCGAGTGAAATCTCAATATTTTATAATTACCTGCAACATCAAACTTACATCAAGCAAAATCAGACCTCAGGCGATATCCTCCAAGCAGATATCAATTCCGACATCAACCTCATGATCGACCCCGAAGCCGCGAAGATTGCGTTAACAGCCCTGTTCCCGAATATCGTCATCGCGGGCAATGTCGCGAACCAGGTTATGTCCACCCAAGCGTTTCTCGATGAGGTGTATGAGGTGGAGAATCCTTATAGTTATCTCATGAATAGGTATTATAACGCTGGTGGCACGTTTCCGTTTTGGGATGAGACGGCGATGGCGGTGTTGCTTGACCGCGGGGTGGTGGTTAATTGTAGTACTGGTATATCCCCCGTCTCTCACCTTCCTCTCACCTCCATACTGTACATATAGGAAAGGCACAGAGCTGATAATGAGGTGAAATTAGTTTACATCGACGTCGACACCGCGTACTCATCACCTAATTATGGGAATATCCATGTTTATCAGGAGGCGCTTATGCCGCCTGGTTTGAGGAATGTTACGTATGTGCATGAGATTGATGAGGGGAAGTTGAGGGAGATGGATAAGAGGAGTGTGCAGTTTCCTAAGAGTTGTAAGGATTTGAGGTAGTGTTAAGCGAGGGATTGGTGGTATATTGTAATGGGTTTGAGAATGGAGCGGGATTGGTGGGGGTTTGAAGAATGGGGAATGGATTGATTGTTTATATATTTTTTTTTTTTTTNTTTTTGATTGGTTGCGTGGGTGGGGGTTCTTGTATATATTGTATTGTTTGGTGTAAGAGACTCGGAGAGGTAGTTACTTGAAAACACATCTATCTACATGTGAAATTGTAAATATTCTTGCGAGTTATCTCAAAGCCAGTTATCTCAAAGCCGTATAACTAAAATAATTTTCTGAACAAGTTAGGAGAATCAAAATCCGAATATCTTTATTTATCCAAGTGATGTGAACAATCTAGTTGAATGTACGAGGAATTCTGATACAATTGCTTCTTTGGGTGTGTTTAGGTATGTTTTCCGTACTCAATAACTTTTTGCATTTAATACTACGTAATATCTGGATTCCTGATTCTTCAAGCATGTGCACTTTTCATGATAGAGGTAGCAAAAAATAATTCACATTACTTCCTATGAGTTTTAGTATACAAGTAGTATATACTTTCTATAAATTACCTAGGACTGTATATCCCATTATATATAATACCATCCCCCTCAGAATATAGAACCCCATCCTAATATCTTAACATACAATAGAGGACTACTAGTCAGTTTCTTAGTATGATACTTTATCGTGAAGAGTTCGGGGTTTTGATGGAGAGCGGACTGTGAGGTGTAAATGTATAGTACTTTGAAGATTAGGTCTACGTAAAGGATATTGGCTTTTTTGTGGGGTTAGTTTGAAAAGGGGGGTTTGTTGTCGAATTTGAGGGTGTTGTCGAGATTTTGGGTTGCGTTCGTTCATTTTGTTGTTCTTTGAGAGGGAAGGAGGTTAGGGGGGAAAGGAGGAGGAGGGAGGTGGTAGGTGGTAGGTGGTGGAGAAAGCATGAGGCTTTTGGGGGGTACTGTATAGGACTGTCTTGAGGAATGCCTCCCATCTTGTTTAGAGTTCCTGTGTACTTTCTCTATAGTACTGACTAAAGGGGTTTTATACTGCTTTTAGAGAAACTTCCATTGTTTTGGGAAGGACGGTAGGGATTCTTTTTGGAGGTATAGATAGAGCCTCAAGGATAAGGAATAGGTGGTTAGTAGATAGTGTGGATTCTTACTAGAAGGTTCCTAAGGCAACTGCTGATAAAGATACTGAGAATGTAGTATGTAGAGTTCCGCAAATATTAGTCTTTAGACTAGGAAGACAATACTAGAATTCCAGTTGCTAAACGCTAGCAATACAAACATCTCTTTTCTACCTAACAAGAGTGAGTGAGGGGTTGGAAAGCTGCCGTATATTTGCTCCTGAAAATTCCTGAAAAATAGGGCGAATAACCGCAATTGGTGAATAACATTGAGAAATTTGATCAGAATTCCAGAAATAACCCTCCACCAGCGTTGCTAAATTTGTACAATAACACTGTTCAAGATTTGGCACATCCGAACCTCTCTTAACTGCTCCTCTTCTGAGCCAGGTTCGGCCTTCAAGATATCCCACATCCACCATTCGATCTGTTCTCTTGCATTCAATCTACTACCCCTCCCCTTTTCCAGGTCATCATTTCCTGGGAAGTTGCTCTTCTGACACTCTCGCCGAATAAGCTGCACAAAAGTGGCTTGTCTCCAATACCACCCAGCAACAGAGAAGAATGATAAAAGCAGATAGCACTCGGAAAGAATTAGCGCCAATCCAATGCAGTCTTTCCAACCCAATTGCGATGGTGGACAAGTGGCGTCGTAGATGCATTGTATGAAGAATATTAAATATAAGCTTGCTGCACCCATGTACCACGAGCAGTATTCTTTGCTATGCATTCCGAATGGTGGCGGTCGTATTCGAGGATTTGCTATCACTATAGCCAAACGAAATTATTCATCGAATAACGAATCTTCCAAGGAGGCATCACAAAGCCAATTCTTTGTTCAATGGTACCATCCAAAAGTCGTGCGTATATAACGGAGCAACTCTTTCCTGTAGTCTTCTGTATTAAGTTCGGCTCTGCATGGAGTCGACACACTCGTATAATAGCCGGAACAAAAGCACAAGAATGCTATTGACAAGACTATCAGGTAGACCAGGTATTAGTAGTGCGCCTTGAACTTTCGTGCGGGTAGATCCCATGCGTAGTCGTAGTTGTGATTATCGGCATTGGAGCACGCAACCAGAACGAAGAGGAGACATACAGCTTGTTTTATCACTATGAAATGAGGCTCTATCTCTAGGGGCCTTGTGTAAAAGTCGGTTATATCGGGTTTTCCTTCTACCCAGTCCGGTTCGGATTCGGAGGGGTAACAACAGCAGTCCTCGTCGGATGGACATTCCATTTCGTTGTCATTCATAGTAGGGAATTTGATGTAGCAATGTGTGGTTGCTCTCGTCTTTGGTTAAGAATATGTAGGTTGATATATAAACCCTTAAATAGTTCATAACGGGTTCATTATTCTTCGTTTCTCGTCTAGCGTTACACAAGTACTTCGCGGTTTCTAAGAGACTCGTCCATCGCTAAAGACAACGCTGACTGGACTACATTTAGTGGAACTTTGCTGAACTACCACCTAATATCTGGCATTGATTATATAGAAGTTAAGCTTCTACAGTGAGATCTGTGATCAAGTAATGAGAAATAACAAACTTAAATTCCATTAAGTTATACAAAATTCAACAAATCTTAACAAATGCGTACTGCTCCAAATTAACTTTACCTCTCCCTACCCTATAATTTATACTAACAAGTTACTATCACTGAGACACGACCACTCGTCAAGAAATCACCCACTAACACACTATCTCCCCCAATCCCCAGATTCGACAAAATGATAATACAGACTAAAAACACCACCCAAGAACCGACCTTTCAAATCTAAATCTAAATCCAAATCTAAATCCAAACCTTAAAACAAACTCACAATGACAGAAAATGACTCATCCCCCCGCATTCCCACAATGATAATCCGCCACTTTACATTGAACTCCGCATAACACCACAAGCAAAAAACCGCAGCACGATCAGGTATGCTGTATTAGCCTCAAGGTGACTCAATTCATTTTCCATGCCCATACCCAGGATAGTGGAGGCGGAGGCGAAGAGATCAAGGAATCACTGGATACCAAGGAATACGCAATACAATTCGCCACTTTGTTTTTTGCCTCAACTTACTTTTCTTGAATCTGGTTTTAGTTTAATAAACTTGGAGGTCTTTGAGGGCTCTATAGTGGCACGGAAGAATGAGGATATCCAATGCCTTTGAGTTATCTCGGTAAAAGGAAAAGATGGAGGTATCTACAACACATGCAGTGAAAACCCAACCCCACAATCCCCAACTCCAATAAGTCCAACAACCAAGCTACCGTAGCCCCGTACCTTCAACACATCATAAATAAACACCACCCAAAAAAGAACAAAATAAAAGCAGAATCCCCCCTCCCACGTTTCACCTGCAAATCACCCGCACGCATCCCACATCCCCCAACTCATCGGCATCCCCTCCGCATAAACGCAAACGGAAGATCCTCGGTTTCGTTTACTATTTCGGCGAGAGGCTTCCCATCACATCCCGAAGCTCTTCTTCCTTCCCGCTCCTTGCCCCGGACAAATACGGGAAGGTGGACATGATGGACATGCATGCACAATTGAGGCTCCCGCCAAGGTAAGGGTGTTGGCAGCCAAAAATACAAGATGGACAAGGAAGGGGCTGGAACGGCGAAGAGGGAGGGTTATGCTTGTTTGATATGAATCATCAGATTCGTTGGGGATAGAGTGGGTGGGAGGGGACTTGAAACGAAACGGAACGTCGAGCGTGGTGGAAGATTCGTCTTTACGAATACGCGTATAGAGTACAGTACAGGACTGAAAATAGTTAGAGAAGCGAGGCACTGCCAGGATAGAATTTTCGAGATGCAGGTTCTAGATCGCTGTCCTTCGTACTTCGTAAGGAAAAGATTTTGGTTTTCTGGAAGTTCGGTCGGTTCGGGTGCCGAGCACCCGTATGTGTGAATACAAGTCTCATCTGATGTCAAACTTCTTCAGAAACAGAAGATACCGTAGGTAACCGGTAGCCTATCGTCACTGCACAGACACAACCAACCCCTTACCGTATCAAAACCTTGATGAGGCTCTGGTAGAAAGATATGTGGATAACTTCTTGTATTGATAACCATTGGTCCAACTTGTCCCGAAGAACGACTGCAAACTGCTTATTTCTACTACAAATACACCCTTTGATTCCAGGTTCCGTCCACCCTCTCTGGTGGCAAGCTCTACATACAGTATTTGTTCAGTCAAAAGTCTGTGTCTACAGAAAAGTTCCAGCGACTCATAGTCCAAAAACTTTACTCGTATGAGTCAGAGAGTGGAAGGCTGAAGGCAGAAATGGAGGGGGCAGGTAGATATCGCTAGAACGATCGCACAAACGGATTTCAATAAGGAATGTTGGACATGGACGACGGCTGAATTGATGACTCCAACTTGGCTCATCAGATATCAAGATTCGTCTTGAAGCATACTCATGCTTTCCGGAGAGGTTGGTGGTACACTTGTAGAACTCGATTTTCTCCTTGAGGACCGAAACTCGGTGTTTCTTGGAATCCCGTTTCATGGAGTGGCAATAACATAGAAACAGACGGAACAACTCCCGCTGACAAACGAACGCCAACGAGATTATATGGAAGCCTGTTGATGGCAAATAAAAGACTGATGAGGGCCACATGAGGCAAATAAGAAGAATCTTGACAGTTGAAGCGGAGATAGACGTGCAAAGAAACTCCGTGTAACCCGAGGCTATTCGTGATGAAGAAGATCATGGTAATCCTTGAATCCTTGTGAAGGAGGCGAACTCATGTCTTGGTACTCGTTCGGGCAACGGCATCTGCAATTGACGAACCTTATTAAATCATTCCACGTGATACTTTATCCTGATGATTCCTCATGCCCCGATATCGATATGATTTGTGTTGAAACAAAACACCCGCCGGGCGAAACAACAAATATCGGCCATGCTAAGCAGTTTGATCCTCGAACTGAGAACAAGTCTTATTGTGCGATGAAGCTAGGGGTAGAAAATCGCGTCTCATTAGGAGGCTGAAGTAAATTGTTCTCACCTTTGCGCTGGGCTTCTCATTGGCCATGTATGTGACACTTAAGCGCGCCGCAATATCTGACGACCTCGTACAACAAGGGCTGGACGCGTCGATGGCCACCGGAAATCAGCAATCATATATCCGTATCGGCGAGTGTTTCCTCCTTCGGCAGCCCATAAGCTATTCGGAGGCGGCATGCTCTTTTGTGAATCTTGAATCTTTCCTGGCAACTTCGGGAAACTCTGTTCTCATTTCACGCAACTTCACAGCTCGGTGCAATTGCTGGAATCCTTGGCTTGACCCAAGATTGTGCTGGGACTTCTTTTTGAATCTTTTCGGAGAAGCCAGACCAAGACAAGACACAGACATGACATGGGCATTTGGAAATACCTTGGGCATTTCTGGATACCCCGGCATCCTGCACTGCAATGCCCGCTGCCTGTTCGAAGCACACTGACCCACCCAGCCCAACGGTTCCTGCCATTTCCAGTTTTTTCTGCCATTTTTTTTTTTGATTCAGATAGGCATTTTTACATTTTTGAATTTTTTGCAGAAAACTCCATAACTCTGCAGCGAAATTGCGCGAAGATGGAGCCAATGCGACGTCATTGCGCTGGCGACAACAGTTCTTTCTTCCTCTGCTTCGAGTACACGTGTGCAGGAGGAGCACGAAAGGCAAGATTTTGCTGCCATGTATGCGGGTGCTGCTGTCCGTGTTATCTGGCTGCAGGATGGTGGATGTCTGGTCGTCCAATATGGCGCCGTCCAGGAGGCGTAGCTGCACGCAGGGGGGATAAAATGTGGCACAATCCTGTGCAACGTGGGCGCGACCGGGATACATTTTCCACTTTCCGCGAATAAGAGATCGGAGGATATGCAGGTCTTTGGTTCTCCCGAGCTATTTTGATGCATTTTGATGCAAACAGGGCAACATCTCAAGGCATAAGTACCCAGTGTCGACCCAGCGATGCTTTGCTGCGAGAAGAAAGCAGCGATGAAAAAAGTCGGTGTACTGACCGCTGGGCCAAGTGAGGGAGGGCAAAAGCCCTAGCAGGTAATATTGGAATACGAAGGGTTATCTATCGAAAAGGTCTGGGAAGATGAAAACTCTGCAAATTGAGGTCCAGGGAGGAGTGTGATGTTCCATGGAGTAGAGACGGCAGAACAAACTCCAGTTGCCCCATCGAGCTATTCTAGCAAATGACACAAGCGAGTCACGGACCAGCGGGTGGACAGCCTGGATAACGTTATCGACGACCCTTGTGGGGGCTTGAGTGGTGGCTGGCCTGCCAAAAGGACGATGAGCCTCTGTGTGTCCTCTGGAGCCTCATGAAAAGAACGAGGCTGGAGCCACTCGCTTGCGCTGTTGGGGATATCTGATATCAACCAAGTTATGGTGGCTCTCTGCCTTTGGATTGGTTTCCAGGCAAGCAGGGGGAACAGACCACACCAACTTGCATCATCAGTTCTGCAGGTGTTCCGTCCACCTGCGGGAAGACGATTAGCCCTGATATGCCCTAAATCAAGGCTACCCGAGTGTGCATAGATAGCCTGTATTGCTGTGATCCGGGCCCCATTTTAGGGCGTAATATTTGCGTTGGCGCATTGATTTGCAGCGCTATTGTCGCGCTTCTAGATCTGCAATAGTTGGGACGCAGACGGCATACGACATATGAACCAACCCCTTATGGCTTTCAGTTTGTCGTGATGATCCAAGGACCAAAGGAAAGAAATCCAGGAGTTGAAGGGAAATGCCATCGTGACGGAAACGGCGGAAGCCGTTTGGTGCTTCCCAAACTCGGAGGTCGATAGAGGTCATGGGCTGAACCATTTGGCGAAACTTGGTATGACTGATGGTGGTTGTGAGGAAAAACAGGTTGTAATTCGCCAAAACACAAGGATGTGGCAGAGAAGGGTGGTTCGCGTGAGACCTTTTCAAAGCCACCCATGAAAGTACATCCACTAAGCTTGATTTGGCCTCGGCTATCACCTGACAAGCCCGGAATGGTGAGAGTACTCACTCTGATTTTGGCTGTGAGAGGACAAGCAGCCGCTGGAATCGGATAAAGTGGCGGGAAGAATCGTCTATCAAAAAAGTAGTCACGGGGCACGGTGGCATGGTTGATATCTGCCTTCCTATTTGGTTGATGTTGACTGCAGACCAGTTAGTCCAATATCAGGACTATTTCCCTTGTCACTTTTCTTACCAACACATATTTTCTCTCACGGTCAGGCCATTGATGAAGAGGGTGTGCTCGTGCAGACCAATGTTTGAATGTAGTGAAGATCTTTGCCATCTCAAGTGTCAGCTTTAGCAACCTAGAGATCTTATTCTTTCGTAGTAAGTCATCATGAGGTGAGATTCGGCAGAAAGCCAGCCCTCCTAATCAACCCGCAATTGTGGATGGTCAGAAAGCTTCATGACAATGGGACGAGAGCCTGGTTTTGCTCCTCCCACTCTTCAGCCCCTCCATCGTCGATATCTTCAAAACGCGACCCCTCCTTCAGTGTCGTCAACCCCCTCTCTTTCCCCCCTCCTTTTCTTCTGCTTGTGACACCCACAGCTCGCTCTGGGCCAGCCCCTCTATGGACGCTATCAATGCAAGCGGCTGCACGTACATATGTAGCCCCTCCTCCCCTCTCCCCCCTCAGCGGAAAGATCCTCAAATAAAACCCCTCTTCACGACGGGTGCGGCAATCTTCTGCAGCTCATGTTAGTTCTTACCGTAAGAGCACCCACTAGACGAGATCTACCACCGACGCTCGTATGTGAGCGGCCGAAGCATTATTCAGGTACACATCAGGCTGGAAGCCAAGCAGAGGCACATTATCATCTTGCTTCATATTTTCATATATTTGGTGCTCCCAACACCAACACCCTTCTCGTACCTGTGCGACGACGCTGCAACCCTCCCACGCGTAGCGCACTACACTAGGATCCTGGGACGTATGCGTATGGACCGTACGGTATCCGTTGGTACCAGCATCAGCAGCATTTCCACTGAGAATATAGTGCGTCTTGTGTCCCAGAGGCAGCATTGCTTTTCAACCAAAGGATCCGCTCCCAAGGACCGCAGGAGGAGGACAGGAACACTGGACTGGAGTACATAACCTCACACCAAAACAACATTACCATTACCACCATCACCAGGAGTCCGAGGAAGCAGGAACCAAAGAATCCCCATCCCAAGTCCCATTCGCATCCCACCTGGTTCTTCCGGTGCAGCTCAGCCTCTCATCGGTCGGCCCTTCATCCCTAAACACATCCGGTGAATACGATTCGCTTAGAAGTGTTTTGTTCGCATCAATTCGCACATTCAGCCTCCGAATAGGCGCAAAGTGCCCCGTGTCAACAACCCTGAGCCATCGTTGGCCACTCGGTGGTCCCAACTTTATCAACGGCTTCGTCCAATTCGGTTCATGAATTCAACGACGCGAGCCCTCATCTCCTCGCCACGCTGAACACGCATTTCCAATTGTGACTCCAGTGCACCCAGTTGGAGATATCAAGTGCTCGCTCACGATCACTCATACTTCGACCTTCTACTGACTTTCGCCTTCCACGTTGCATCACCAGCCAATCTCGCGCTATCAGCCTCCGCCGTCTGCCATCCATCGCATCCGCCTTCCGCGCCCCATTATTATCCTGCCCATTGACTCAATCAGGGTTCAATTCCTCGCGGCAACGTCACTGCCTTCCGGGTCGCCTCCTCGACCTCATTGCCGGTAGGGAAAGTTTGCTGGGTACTCCGTATTGAGATTAATACTTGACCCACGCCGACGCCGCAAGTCTCGTCCCATTGTCTTGTCGGACGTCTCTTGTCGGATTGCCCACGAGTTCGACGAGGGAGATTCTGAACGTCCGTGGGTTGTGTGTCTCTCTCCAATTTCGCTTCCACTTCGACCATGCACTTTGTTACACCGGCACCCACCACCCCAGCATGAATCAGGGGCCTCGTCGCACGCCCAAAAGTAAAAAGAAGAGGCAAAAAGAGTCGCTTTCTGGAGTCGCAACAGTAGAAGTAAGTTCAGTACCCTCTTTTAGCGGTGTTTTGCTTTGCTTAGCCCCTTTTGCGTGCCGTACCCTACTCGATACCTCCTCGGTCGGTCGGCGTCGTTCGGTTCTGGCATAGTCGTTCCTGAACTCTCCCGGGGCATTCTGTTTGGCTCGGTGTCCACTGAAGTGCGAGGGGCATTTCTAGGGTGTCCCGGGGTTTGCTTTCCATCCCTGGGCCCCATATGGTAGACCCCCTTTCACTCCACCCCCTGGATCAGCAGTGGATGATCGCTGTCTCGACTGTCCACCGCCTTGGGGGGCTACGATCTACCACTCTTCCGCAGCGTGAGAAATGATAGTGGATAGCCCCTCGAGCCTTGGACGCACTCATTCACGCCCAAGATAGACGTGCTCAGTGCTTCCAATTCCATGCCTCGCAGCCCAACCATCCAGGCTGTGCGGTGCTCAGGCTCAGCACCGCACATTCCAGAAGGCACCGACTTCTATGCAGCTCGATGCCGCGCTGTGACTGTCTCATCTTCCAATGGCCGTACTTGTCCATGGCTTATTCTGGGATTTCTAAAGCACCCCTGTGGCTGACCAGAGTGCAATAGTCATCGCAGTCATCGCCCCCCTGCACTTGCAGGCATACCCTGGTCCCAGCCAACGCACTGAAAAGCAGCACCCGAAATCTAAATTTCCACCCACACCACACACCACACACGTTCTTAAATATCCATCATCCCCAACCATTCACACCTTTCGAGTCTTCGACAGTCACATCTGCTGAACACAAACACTCTGACCCAAACGATTATCCACAACGATTACAAATACGTCATCGAGCCGGAGCCAGAATCGCCCTGCTCCTTCTAGACTCTTCCGAAGGCGACTCGATCGACTTCGTCCAGCAATAACAACGTCTTCCTTCTCGAAGGAATCCCTAGCGACCAGTTCTTGACATGTACGGATCAACGACACAGGTTTCCTCCTTCTCTCGTACCGACTACATACCACGGTGACGGGCTCGTCACATTCTCCGACGCTGCGATCTAGGGCGTGTTCGACTCTTTTCCTTGTCTTATTACTAGGTTGTCTGCGGGACATTTCAGAAAGCAGACTACCATGAACTATTCATCATACACGTCCCCTCCCGCCCACGCGGGAGCTGGATACTACGGATTCAGCGCGACTCCATCGCCGGCTGCATCACCATCCGGAGGAGCCCACGGATACTATCCATCACGATCAGGGCCCTCGACACGAAACCACTCACGACACACATCATCCGGAGACGCGTATGCGTATACACAGTCTCCACGGGCGTTTTCTCCCAGATACAACTCCAAAGGAGATTACGCGACTGCTGCCAATGTGAGTCGAAAACAAAGTTCTTGGTCCGGTCCACGTTATGAGCCAAAGCAACGGCGCAGTTCTTTCTCCCATCGAGCCTCTCATGGGGATTCCGACGAGGACGATTATGAATATGTAGAATACATCGTGGATGGTGTTATATACCGACGAGTTCAGCGGCCGACAAAGCCAACTTTTCATTATCGTGGGCATGGCACTGATTACTACTACTCTCAGGGCCAGTATGAAAGGGATGATCCTGAAGAATATCAACCTAGAAGACGCCGACAGTCATCATCTACACCTCAACACCGACCACAACCCGCACGCGCCGCTGCGCCAAAGAAGCCAACACCAACTCCCAAGGCGACCGAAGCTGACGCACGTAAGCACCGCATTCCTCCGGGATACTCCCTCAAGAACTGGGATCCCTCGGAAGAGCCCATCATGCTCCTAGGTAGCGTTTTCGATGCGAACAGTCTCGGAAAATGGGTCTACGACTGGACCGTATACCATCACGGACCCGCAACACCAATTGCCGACATGGCCGGTGAGCTCTGGTTACTCCTAATCCAACTCGCAGGCAAAGTCAAACGCGCGGAAGAATGTATGCCACGCATTCGAAAGGAGGAGAACAGAGAGATGGTTGAGGACTTCATCGAATCTGGCGAAAGACTGACAGACAAGCTAAAGAAGCTTTTGAAGGCTTGCGAAACACCAATGTTGAAGGCAGGCAAGCGAGGTGGAAAGGAGCAAGCGCAGTTGGGCAAGAAGGCAGGTACCGAGTTCGTCGATTCTATCTTTGGACGCGACCGTCAACTTGAGCATACCGAAAAGTTTATGGCATCCATCCGCCTCTGGAACTTGCGATTCGACGCCAACTGCGAGGATATCTTGCGCAGGCCAGGACAGTAGATCCCGAAACAACATTAAAAAAACACGGCAGAAATATGCCCTTAAATGATTAGGGGTTGATGCACATTTGCGCCCCCACAAACTACAACAAAACAAATCTGGAGGAGAAGATGACGGGCTGGGGAACAAGGACTTCCAAGGACATGGATCCGGAATTTTTTGTGTCCCTCGCGCGCGTCAGTGTTACTATTATTTTTTTCGCCTTTCCCTTTTTTTAATGTGGTCTGGCTACTCTACGATACCCCTTCGCTGCGATTTTCCTAGAATGACATTGGCTGGCGCGAATACGGCAATTCATTATGGGCTTTGGGTGTAAGAATACTTTCTTATTTTGCTACTATTTTTTTGTTTGGTTGCTTGCGTTGCGAAGACGGGAAATTAAGGGGCAACCCTATTGGGGTTTAGAATTTGACCCGTATTAGAGGACTGGTATCAGGACAAGAAAAGTTTTGTGCTCTTTACTCTTTTTAGTGGAGACTGGAATGGAACGCTATGGCGGGATAATGATGGAGAGGAGAATGAGGGGATGATTGGAATGGAAAGGAATGCGATGAGAAATTTGTAATTGTAGACGTTGTTGCTTATGTTCTTGCTATGGATGGGGGCGTTGTTTATTGCATTCTTTCTGCTGCGCTTTTTACTGGTTGGCTGGTTCACGTTGATGGTGCTTTGGAAGATTCAATATATACCCTATCTTTCTTTTATAAGAACTTGCCTTATGAGCGATTTCTCTGCCTGGTTTAAATAAGATACTAACTACCTGTAGAATGATTTGGATTGTTTGTTTTGATAAACTGTGTGATTACAATCTCCTGTAGTAATAGATAAATACTCGTACTGTACACTACTAGTCACTCCAGTCATGATACACCTCGCGTAATCCCCCTTTTCATGTGCAAGATCAATCTTCAAACCACACCCAATTCAATTCAATTCCACTATACAACTTCCTCTAAATAGAAAATCCTACAACGGATCTCACCTAAACCTTCATATCCCTACTTCCCACTTACTCACACACAGTCTGACTCAAAATACCGGTATACCACTCCTCGCACATGTGAATCCCTCGTGGTATCCCGCCCTGCACCGTGCCGCTTTGCTGCAGTAGGGAAATCTTTTACTGTACTTCGTTCTTTGGGCTCAATTCGCTAGCTAGCTCGCTAACGATGATTGGTTTATCCGTTGTGGAATGGTGTGGTTGGGTGGTTGGGTATGGATTTGGTTAGGTCAGGTTTAGTTGGGTGGAAGGGTGGAAGGATTTAGGTGGAAGGTGTGGAAGGGTGGAAGGGTGGGTAACGTGCATGTATGTATGTATGTATGTATGATCACATTTGGTAGGTGGGTGGTATGGTGTGGGCGGAAATTTTGCTGAGATGGTTGGGTTCACCGGGTTGGGTTGGGAAGAGGGGGGTGCTTACTATTGGTGTGTGTCTGTGTGGGATTTTTGAGGCACGGTTTTGGTGATTGTGGGGGTCAGGGAGGGCGATTGATATATACTGTAGATTGAGAATGACAATGGAAGGGGAATAATCGATAAGATTGCGTTCCCAAGAGTGCAACTTAGGGGTTTGTTTAGGGACATTGGGTCGTGATTTGGGTTTGTAGTTTGTACAGAGGGGTTAGGTTGCATTGGACTGAATTGGAGGGAGTTACGAGGCAGTTGGAAGCGGATGAGGCTCTCCGAGTTCAATAATGCTCATCATTCATCTCGGGAGGAAGTGCCGCCGTAATGTAGGATTCGTCAACGGTTATCAATATGTGTAGTACCACCATAATCCGATCCTTCAATCGAAGCTTACCCACTCAAACACATTCCAAACCAGACTCGTATATTAAAACCGATATATTCAGTACCTCCTCCTCTCCTCCCTGTCCAAACCCCCTATTACTGGTCCTAAAAGCAGCACCTCCCCATTGGCGTAACTTACCCCCTCGAAATTAATTGCCAACAAGAAAGAAGATTAAAATAAGCCCATCATCCGTTGCACGACACCACAAAGCACAACACAACACCACCATCCATCCATCCATCCATCCATCCACCCCGCTTTTCTTTACAGGTCACACAAGGAAAAAACATGAACATGCTCGTCACCAACGCGTTGGTGTTGGTGTACGGCAATGGTGCGTGATTGGCTGTAGTCGTTCGGGTAATTACTGTATGTTGTGCTGTATGTAGGGTCTGGATGAGTACAGTACGGTGCAGCGCCATGGAAATATGCAGCTGGGACTATTTTTGGTGTTGAGGGAGGGGAGGGGGTTGGTGAGATGTTTGCTGCCTCTTTCTTCTCCTTTTTGGTTTATTGAGTGAGGGGTTGGGGTTTTGGGGGGGGGTTTAATATCGGTATTGGTATTTTGGGAAGATGAAGGTTGGGTTTATTGATTTGGGGGTTGGTGAGGATTTGAGGGGTTTGTTGGTCGTTACTTGAGTTTGGGTTTTTTTCGGCGAGTGGTGGGGGAGATGCTCGATGTTCATCTATACTTTTCATTAGGCTCCTAGAATGCGATTAGATCTTATAGTGAGTAAATGAAATTTTGGGTAGCGAGCGAGCGATCTCGTCGTAAAATGGCACTCACTCATCGTGTCAAATGAGATAAGCTCATCAAGAAGGATTTGAGAATATTTCTCACTCAACCCCCTCAATTCCCTCCAGAAAAAGCTCGACTTACCATTTATAAGCCCTTGAAGGATCTGTGAAATCCATATTGTGACCCCCTCATAAAACAGATACCCTATATCCACTACCAAGAAACCCCAATCCACGGTACAATCCAGCATGCCAATAATCTTACCTCATCCCACTATCAAACCCTATCATACCTAACTACGGAGTTAGTGGGGGACAAAAATTCCAGCCCCACCCCACCCCGCACCCAGCATCCTTCGGTTTCCATTTTAGAATTTAGCAGCGGCGGCCGACAACTTGTGCGGTTAGATAAACCTTACGCGCTACGATTCCGTAATTTCCGACAGATCCAGATCTTTTTCCGTCAGCGCTACCGAGGATCAGGGTCGGGTGCGCTTATTTTTGTTGTGTGTGGAGTTTCTTACGTCGAGAGTGTCCTTTGACGAGCTGAGGAGGCTGAAGATTTGACGAGAGGTGTGGGAACGGATCGGTTATTGGTGGGGTGGCAGAAAAAGGTGCGTTGATTGGAGAGGGTTGTTTGGGGCAGTTTGGAGAACGTTGGGGTTGGCCGAGGCTGAGGGGGGATTCTGGATCCTTATTGGATGATTGGGGGTGTAGGTGTTTGGCAGCCTATTATTTGATTGAGATCGCAATACAGAACTAGACTGCCACTTTCGACATCTAGGACGAGGTCTTGATACGGTACTACAAGAAGCCGTCGAGATGCATTACATACGCTTCCTCAAGTCTCCTAGGCTTATTGATAATTCTCTCCGGAGTGCACCTTCCTCTTTGACGGCGAAGATCACTATCACGACTGATTTGGGTGAATCCTTTTTGTGGGACGATATCAACGTTATTGCTGAAGTTGTTTCTCATGATGGAGAGACGGTGATTGGTAAGGGGGTTGAATATGCTTGGAAAGGGAGGGAAGGGATGAGGGGTTTGGAAGTTGTTTTGAGGATTCCGCCACGGGTGGATGGGGTAGTTAGGATGAGAGTTCGTTCTGTGACAGAGGAGCTGGATGTGAGAAGGTTATCGGAGATTGTTGACAGGAAGGGTAGAAGTGAAGAGGGAAGTATTGTTGGAGTTTGGAGTATGGACGTTAACCTTTCCACGTCTTTGGCGAAAGTAAAAGAGGTACAACCTCCTCTTGCTGAGAGAGTTTTTCAGATTGGAGATGGGAAAGCACTTCATATCTGGGAGGAGACTGGAGAGTCGATTGCTAGGCATATTTGGTAATGTTTCATCTCTCTCAATTATGTCCTCACTCTAACATTGATATTTAGGGACGCAGGATTAACACTCTCTTCATACCTCCACACAATATCACCCCTCTCGTCCACATCAACGACAAGTTCCAAGCTTCCAGTTCTAGAGAAACTCTTGCAAGAAAAGTCAGAACTGAACATTATAGAACTAGGAGCCGGTTGCGGCATAGTCAGTCTAACACTACACCACCACTTCCCCCAAATCTCCAACTCAATCCTCACCGACCTCCCCGAAGCTTCAGAGATCCTCTCGCATAACATATCCCATCTATCCATCCCAGATTCCCCTTCCAGAAATTTCACGACTACTCTCAAACATGAAGTCCTGGATTGGTCACAGCCGCTGCCATCCTTTGCTGCCGAGAAGAAATGGGACTTGGTAATGGTGGCTGATTGTACTTATAATCCGGATGTGGTACCTCATCTTGTAAAGACTCTTAAAGAGCTGACTTCTGAAGAGGGAGGGAAGGAGGGTAAAGGATTAGTTTGCGCCGCGATGAAAGTTCGGCATGAGAGCGAGATGGTGTTCTTCGATCTTATGACCGAAGCTAGATTTGAGGTCCTAGGGAAGTGTAGGATTCCTATAGGAGTTCTTGGTGGAGAAGGGGAGGAAATCGAGATTTTTGTTTTTGGTAGAAAGGGGAAATAAAAAGAAGCGAATAAGCGAGAAAGGCTCAAGTAATTAAATTTATACCTACTCTCTTTACTCTTTAGAAAAGATTCTGATAATCGAGTAGATATAGAACAACGATTTTTAATTGTACTAAATCCCTATAGATAAGTAATATAGAAGAGATTATATTCCTTTCTATTAGCGTAAGTTAATTTAAAGTATCTCTATTTTTCGAATAGTTTAGAATAATAAAATTGATCCTTCTCGTATTCTCTACAAATTATTTTTATTATACTAAACAAATAGATTAATTATATTATTAGAATTAAGTTACGCTAATAGAAATAGATTCGATATTCTCTTATTCGTCTATCTTTCTTATTTACTATTTTATAGAATAGGAGCTGCCGATTATAACTAAATTCTATAAGATGTTATCGTCGAATTTAACTCTACTATCGGAAATATAATATTATACACTTGTTTTTCAGTTCTTTACACTTATCGTGCTTTTGGTAGCGCAGACCCTGTGGCGGTGTACCGGAAAGGGTTATTCCGCCTCCGAGGTCATCGTTCCGGAGAAGTTCCGCGGATAAGTCCCTGAACGAGCCCGGAACGACACGGAACTTCTCCGGAACGACAGGTTAGACGCGCGGAACGACCCGGCATGACCTCGGAATGACTAGATTATATCTCATGTAGAACCGGGGAAGGTGAAATTCGCTCAAACAATGTTACTTTTAACATTATAGTATTACTATTTCCTTCTGCTAGAAAATGTAATCGTCGTAGAAATTAAGCTAAGATTATCTGTTTGGAAGTAAGTGGAAACCGAATTCGTATCTATATTATAGGGGTTAGCTAAACTATATAACTTAGGTGAAAATCACAATTTCAGTCCTTACTTTACAACAAATAGAGCTCTCTTATTAGTTGAATAGTGATATATATATATCCTTTGGAATTCCAAATTAGAGAGCCTTTGGAATATTCCACCTTGGAATGGAATCTTGGAATCCTTGGAATCGTATTCCAAGTGCCCAACGCTGTTAATCAAGTTGTGCTAGACTTTTGGTATAACGGCTTTTGATAACGTGTAAGAGAGGCGCGCATTACTCTGTACACACCTGAGTTATAAAAAGAGTATTATCCTAAAGATCCCACGCAACTAAAACAATTCTACGAATAGTTTAGAATAATTGTTACTTTTCATTTCTTATTGTGCTAGGTGAAATGGGACAATTGAGTTACTTGTGCCAGATTTTTGGTATAATAACTTTTGATAGCGTGTACAGAGCAGTGCCCGCCTCTCTTACCACTGCATACAAAAGGTAGCAATAACCAGTGAACCAATTGCCCGAGGAAACCCTTTACGAAAGTTTTGATGGAAAAGACCTGATCAATTCATCTTCTACGCTTCGAAAGATACCGTAAGAACTAGAACTCCCTCGCTCCTCAAATCAAGCGAGGAAATAAAATGTTTAGATTAACATGGGTAAATTATAAAGCAGAAAGATCAATCCTTCTAGATTGTTCAAATAACATTATCACATGTGCATGTGTTAACTGTCTAAGTTGGGTCGATTTCCTCATATTCACAATATTGAAATCTGCTGATGTCTGTTTTTGTGCTTGATATTTCCTAACTCAGAAATCGTCCCTCGTCCGGTCATACTGTACTCCTCCAATCGTCCCTCGAATACCTTAATCTTTCCTTCTCCCGGCATATGTTTTGATTCTTTCACCACATCTCAACTCGTTCCTTGACTTGATATTGTCCGTTTCTGTCTACAGGCTGTATGTAGTCTTTCCCAATCATCGTTCTGCATGATATAAGACTCTCTGAAGACTCTTCTCACAAACGACACAAGGCGGTCCCATGTCCAGTTGATAGCTTCGTCATCGTTGAAATTAATCTCGAAATCGTACTTTTTGTTGTAGGGACCGCTTGTTTTGCAGCTCAAACAAAGTGAATAAGCGTAGGATGAAGGTTCATGTTCACGTTGAAGTTGAACTCCATATTGAGTTGGTTGTGTAGCTGGGGAAGCATGTGTAGTTGTCTGTAGAAAAATCTGGACGCAGGAGTTCTTCAAATGGTGTGGGATGGAAATGCTCATGGTCCAGGGTAGTTGGCCTGCCGCTGGGGGTGGGTTGAGGAACTAACGGCGCTGCGGGTCTTGTGGAGGAAGGGGGAAGTCACCCCATTTGATGTAATAGAGCAGCTCATTCCGTTCAAATCTAAAATTGAAGTCGTTGTCCATGATGCTGGCTTTCTGCTTGTGAGTTTTCGCAGGCGTTTTGAACGGGACGTTGTTGTCGGAGTATCACTAGGAGTGTACAAGGACTATTCCAGGATACGGTTGAGATTGATCGTAAGGAGCGAAGAGATCTAAAGGCTAGCTAATATATATGCTAGACGAGAATCCAGTTCCTTCCCGGTTCGGAAACTCCTACCCCGCACTCCTATTCACTAAGCGAAAGCCCGCATATTCACTAATTCATTCATACACATTCATGAAGAAGCACATTTCAAAGAGGTGTTTGAACTCCGGGGAATAGGTGCCCTCTTATGCCATACTGAGTGAATGTGCTTGGAGTAAGAAAGCAGCATATATGTTCCGTTGGAACGATCACGCATTTCACTTCATAGCTGGCTCTTATACTTTCACCCAAGTTTGCAGTAGTTATGGCTTATTTGAACCTTGATATTTCATGTTGACGGGAACCAGGAGGTGCAAGAACTCGTGGTTGACTAGGTAAGGTGGAAAACTATCGCCATTGTAGTCTTCTTTCCCCCACTGGAGCCTGAAGAATAAACAGATGTAGAAGGCAGATTGTCAGAATCCTCGACTCCGAAGACCCCCGATGGTAGAAGCCGAATGAAAAGTACAAGGCAAAGGAATGAATTTGACTTAAACATGTAAGCTCACTTTAGCAGCTTTTCTACTATTCAATGAACAATAAATCTTACCAGGCATATCATGATCTTGGAATTAGATATATATCATTGTTCTGCCACTAGATCAATAACCAATCACCATTACAAGTCTTCTTTCTATTATTCAAACACAAACACGATTAATGGATCAATTCTTCCGGCACTCCCCTTTGTCCAGAAGTTTCCAACTATCATTGATGCTTAACCAAGGTTTTTTCACCCAACCCTTTCTTTAACATTACAACCGTATGGTGCTACATCTCGAGTTTCAGGACTATAGCGAATTCTCTTCCACGAGCCAACATTTTGCTCTCCCTCAAAGTAAAGCTGCAAAATCTCCCTGATAAATTCTGCTTTCCTTCGCCATCCCCAGCTTGTAACGTCTTCTCCATCGTAAGTGAAATCTATTGTGAGAGTGTAGTCACTCCAAGAGCCGCGGGGTCCCCAGTTATTTCCAAAATTTACATTTGGATGCTCTGGCTCCAAACCATTTGGTTTCCTTTCCCTGGCGTAACTAGTAAAGCGTATTCTAGAGGTATATCGAGTTGTAATTTCGGGATTGTCATGAAAGATATCGATAAGATAAAAGAAGTGATTGTAATTCGAGGTAGCAGAGTTTGGAGCTTGAATGACTTCGTCCCAGCCTGGTGAATCCGGGCCATTGACGATATTGTGGCGCTGACAAAATTTGGGGGAGAGGATGAATGTCAACAGATTGTCTCGGAGTGGACTTTTATAGAGGTCCTTTTGTGAGGAAGAGTTCGCCATGGTGTCGTCGAAGAGTTCCAAGGGGTTTCAAGTTCAGTATTTGTTGCGGATTAAAGGAGAGAACTCTTCAGACAGAGTTACAGTTCAGCTGTAAATATTCCAAGATAACGCTAGTTCGGCTCGTGGGAAGTGAATGAATTGGAGATAAGCTCAACAGTCTTGAGCGAATTAAATACCATGATGGCTAGTTTGCTTGTGAGACCTACATTATCTGTCGATGACTCTCCTCTTTCATAATTATACAAAACGTCTATATTTGTACGTCTCTTGAAAGCCAAATATGAATGACGGCGTTCTAAGCAGGAAAGAGCCAGTGGATACATCACAAATAGCAACATACAAGTTCTATGATGGTGGTCGGTTACACCGACACGATACTTCCTCATGACAATTTTTCACTCTCTAGTATCTAGAGAAAACTATCGTACACATTGGAGCAAACATTACCGTCCGTACCTCCAACATAGAATGATTCATAGTTAAGAATTGTTTCATTCGGCTCACTCCTGGGAAAGGATGGTTAATATCTTCATAGGGAGATGGCAATAGAAGTAGCATGATTAGTAAGGCTAGACAGTATACAAGGTACAGCTGGTCTTGCAGTAGCAAAGATTCTAGGGGTGAAAGTGAGAGCAGGATCAGGTGTACTCAAGGGCCAAGTCCGATTCTTCCCTAGCCCTCAGCCAACCTCATCTTTTGTAGGTGCTGCGCATGGAATTCGCTCTATCCTCAAATTCACTCTGCGGCCTAGAACTTACCACCCAACCAAATATTTGCGGATATGTGGAAACTCCGCATATAAGTGAAGAACAGTACCTGCACCACTCCCCCTCGCTTAGCAAATCCACAAGGGCAAAATAGGACAAGCACTTCCTCCACGTTTTCATCAATAATATTTAACAAGCGGCTTTCAGTCAGTAATTTGGAGCGTACTTGTGTAGCGCACTAGTTACGTGCGGCGAGACGTGTGTTCTACACGGGGCCAGCCCGTATGAAAACGGCAACGTGTACAGCAATGACTAGCTACTCATGATTTGGACTCAGTTCGTCCGGGTCTTCTCCTGATACACCTCCTCATGGGGAGAGAGTCAAGCACTGTTAGATTTTCTCTATATAGATAGAATACTTGTATATCTTTGCTATTGCGTGTGTCAGTCTTGTTATTTTGCTTTTGGAGTCAGAGGAAGAGGGTAATCATTGTGAAAGGATTGTGGACGATGTGATCCCGAACAGAATAATACATCTCTGGAGAGATGGCATAACCCATGAAAGAGCAAGACGTTATCCTACATCAGAGGAAGCATATTTGTTGCACGGCAATGCTGTTTTCTATTGAATTGCACCACTCAAAAAACCCTCCGTATTGCAATCCCAATTTTCAACCATTTCGCTATTCCTGCGTTATCTACACTTCTTCCTCCAAAACAGAAACCATCAAGATATATAAAGATCCATTACCAGACTATCTGAAGAAGATGTTGAATAGAGGAACAAATACCTTAATACCAGCCTCCCACAGACAGCCTCCCACCGCACATTTAATTCTTCAAAGAGGAAAACTAATAATCACGTAGCATGCGAATACAAAGTAAAGCTCTAGCGAAGACCAGAGAAATCATGACTATTACAGCAGGTCTCCTTCTTTCAAACGTAAGAACCCCAATCGACAGCAAATCCTTCCTCAACAGCAACAAACGAACCTCCCACTCACCTAACAGCATTTAAGTGACAGAAGCTACGGATATCCAGAATTAAAAATCGTAAATCACAACCCCTATGCGTAGATTCTACCAAAGGCAATTTCACAATCTACACATCGCTAACCGAGGGACTAACGTTCCTTGTTACCACCTTGAATATCGCCGTCATCTCCGCAATCTCTCGCGGCGGCTATATTTGAGGTATTGAAACGTTGGTTAAGTTAATTCGGTGGCTATACTCGAGTAACGAAGAGAAAATAGATATGAAATGATGATTCTAAGGATCAATACAATAATATGAGGGAAATTCAACGAGCGATCCCTGGAATTGAGATATCTTTAGAAGCCAGTAGCAATAACCTCTCCCCTTTAAACCTTAATAATCATTAATTAAATTGGATGGTGGATAGAACCAGACACCTATCAAAAAAGCATCTCGGATTTGGCTGTGCTACGGTTGTTTTTATTCAGATATCGAATCCTCTATATCATGTAGGAGGCGACTGTGGTGGTATATATTCTCGGTAATTTCGTAGGCGATTGCATATCAAGACTCTCCAAATCCCCACTATAGCCAGATATCGATGGCTGAAACCCCAGGTTCTCAAATCCCTTCTTTTCCCCTCTTCAAACTTCTGCTTGTTCTTCTTTCTTTAGAGATTCCATCCAATCCGTGTCTTTGTATTCTCAAGAAGATCGATAGGATGGCTCAAGGACAATGAGAGCTAACTCCCTGCGATGGCCATGTATCGATACCATCGACATGAATACTCAAGCGAACCCTCCGTCGTTGAATACCGATCCAACGAAAAATACACTCGCTTGGCGGCCATTATGTTGAATTCCACTTTGGAATTAGCGGCTGAGCAGAAAAGAAGGCGACAAAAGAACACAAAAAGATATCACAGCATAAATATCTTTACCAAAACCGGCATCACCCACCTACAAAATCCAACAAGAGCAGCTGGTAAAACACGACGCAACACATAGAAAGGAAAAGTGTATTGAAATCTCACAAACTCCCATCGCCATCTAGCTATCAGCTCCCCGTCCACCCCTCTTTCCCCTTCCCCCACATCTCTCCCTACCCCTCCATCACACAGCAAAAATCGCAAAAGCCCAAAAAAAAACCCAAGGAAAAATCACACCCGATTCCGTCTTATGTACAACCACCACGCTTCAGACTCAACAGCCATCTAAGATGCTTTTGTATGTTCGTGTGTTCTCGACTCGATGCCGAAGCGAAAGACCCCTGCGATGCCCTACGGTGAGGGGATATTACGATTTGCTCTCTGGTTCGGCGAGGATACCTTCGACTTCTAATCTTCTTCGTGCTTCTTCGAGGGCCCAAGCTTGTATCCTGTTGAGGGACTACATTAGCTTCTGGTTTCTTGCAAATTCAATATTCTCTCAACGCTATTCAAATACACCCCCGATCCATCCCACATCTACCCCTAACACATCCCGTTCCATCTCACTTCACCTCTCCCCATTCATCACCCATTCCAATACCCTCCGCATGTACGCAGAAAGCAAACTCCGCGGCAAGAAAAAAAGAAAGAGGCACAACTCACGAAGTATCAGGCTTAAAAGCATACCCAATAACCCCCAAACCAAGACTCCCAAAGAAGCCATAAATCCAGATGTTTTCCCAACCCTCCTTCTCCGCCTTCTCACCCGGCTTCACACCAAACAGCCATCCACTAGGAGGATCGTAGTGATCCGCGTGGTCGGCGGACCGTTGTATCGTGGTACTCGTAAAGGTTCGTGTGGCGAGCGACTGGATTGGCATCGCCCTAGCTTGAGAGATGGCGCGCGCTGCGGCGGTGGGGGTCTGAGTGAGAAGACGCATCGTGTTGGTTTGGATTGTGATGTACGGTGCGTTCGTGGTGGGGGTTGAGGGCGGTATGGTTCCTCTGCCGTAGGGTTTTCTCGTCGATCGTTCGGGGACTCGGGCGGGGACGGGGGTGAGGCAATTGAGTCGCAGAGGGCACAATTCTCGATTGCTTCTTTATCAGTGCGAGGGGAGGTAGAGGATCTTGTCGTTGGGAGAGGGACGATGCTGTAGTCGTCGTTGTGATGGCGGGTATGACTGGACCTTTGAAAGCTAGCTGTGCTGTCCGGAGTCGGGATCGGGTTTGCTTGCGGTGTTAAGCGCCCCACTTGGGTGACTGAATCGGTTTGTGGGGGAGGAGGAGGAGAAGGTTGCTGGTAATGGATGTCATGATACCCCCCACCCCCGTCTTAACGGTTGGATAACTAACTCAAGAGAGAACCTTTTGCCTTTTATTGAACCCAAAATTCCCAGGATCATGACCACACCTTTTCGCTTCCAGATTTCCCTCAATGAGCTCTCTTCCTGCCATCATTCCATAACAGCCATCTCCCACTTCGCTGTCCCTACAACAGTGTCCTAGCCCTATCTAACCGAAGATGTGGTTACCGAATCTGATATCAATAATCCAGATCAAGGTAATCCATCCCATGATACGAAATCGTCAAGGAAATGCCTCGCCCCTCCAATACAACAAGTACCAGAATCTCAGAATCCTCAATCCTCAGAAGCCCACCTTTTCTAAACCCTCACTTCCTCACCTCCCTTCTTATCCATCCCCAATTTTTCATATCTTTCTCTTGCCCCCATCCCCTTTAGCAAGAAACCCCCACCCACTCTAACCTCTTCCCCCGCCATTCTTTCCGAGCAATCATCTTTCCCAACTCCTCCGAGCTCACTCACCCATATATTACCAGTACCTGTTGAACCGTGGAAACCACTCATTTCATTATTTATACATGTATTTCATTATTTGCACTGTTTCCGCATTGGGATACTACTCCACTCTTTTTACCCCTATTCTCATATATATACTCTGTACAATAACTGCTTTACAATTCAATCAATTCTACATGACCTACTTGACCCCATACCTTGGAAATCCAACAGTTATGAGCATCACGGATTTATCCATTTAATTAATTGATTCAACCAAACAATCGGCTTTTCACCCTGGACGACGTCATTCGCACCCCGGACAAACATACGAAGTCGGACAAACAGAGAATTTCAAACACAACGAACCAGAATAGGACGATTACAATGCCTGAAGTTCAGAAAATGATTCTCGATACTACATCATCGTGGAGGAATTGGATTGCAACAGTCAAAGAGATGGCATTATATGGCGACACAGACGTCTGGAGCTTTATTGACCCTGACCTAGCATCACAACCACCACAACCATCGAAGCCTACTCGTCCTATCGTCGATTTCGAAGAGATATCAAACCCAGAGGGAAGAGAAGTTTTTCGATACGAAATACAGTTTTATCAGGAGGACCTACGAGAATACGAAAGAAGGATAAGGGTACTCGGAAACATACGGACGTGGATACGGGAACACATCTCGATCACGAACTATGTGTTCATACGAGAGGAAATAACAGTCTGGAAGTCAATACGGAACCTCAAGGATCACTTAGCGCCAACGGATCAAGCTCGAAAATTCGAAATGATCAAGGAATATGCAAAGCTCAAGAAGTACTCAAAGAGTCAGAAAGTGGAGGCATATATCCAAGATTGGGAAACCACAGTGGCAGAGTGCCTACTTTTGAGACTGCCAGATGTTGCAGAAGAGAGGCCACAGGAGGACTTTACAGCAGCCATTGCTGGAATCGATTCTCAGTTTGCGTCGAATATGCAATTCAAATACTCCGAACTTCGATCCGAATCCCAGCCTATTCTCGAATTCACAAAACTTACTCAAATGTTTCGGGATCATTATCGTCGTACGGAAGCCCTCAAACCTTACTCCAGCCCTGGAAGCAGCTCTGCGTTCACAGCGAGCACGGAAGGCGAATCGTACAAAGGAACAAAAAGGGGGGAAGAAAAAGAGAAAAGAGAATGCCTATGTGGAGTAAAACATGCTTGGAAGCAATGTCCATATTTGGTGCCAGAAAAAGCAGTAGGAGTTCAACTTGATCAGGAGATTGTCACAAAGATCAACGAGAAACTGGAATCATTGCCTTGGCTAGCAAAGTTAGTCTTCAATGCTACAAAATACTCCATTCGTGCAACGACTTCTCCGGAAACACCAACCGCAGCAGGAAAAGCTGTAGCATCGACAAGACGAATTCGATTACCTCCAATGCCACTCGAAGACTTCGAACAAACCTCGAAAGCAACGTTCAGTGCTCGAATACAACGAAGCACGCCTCAACCGATAAACATTGAAAAACACTCTTTCAACACTTCAAAAAATCATAACCTTCAAAAATCAATGAAAACCCAGAGTCATCAATATAAAGGGGATCTTACATTCTATAATGCTTGGATCCTGGATGGAGGCTCAGAATCGAACATCTGCAATGATGCAGGGAGGAGTGATTTCACAACAACACACAAGGCAGCACCTGACGATGTTATTCTGTCTGGCAAAAGCCGTTACAAAATCGAATCATACGGAACCACCAAGATATGGATCGATGCTCCTGAAGGAAGACGATTCTTTACTCTCACGGATGTCGCACTTGTGCCGGGATATATGACAAACATTGTCATGGAAGAAGCGGTAATCAAAGCTAGGGTATATCGCTATACAAAAAACCCAGAAACACTCATCGACAACGATGGACAAGTCTTTTGTACACTTAAACCACTTGGCAAGCTATTTGCTTTCGAACTCGACGTTCCGATCGAGAAAAGAAGAAGAGCACTTACGACGACGAAAGCCAGTGGACATTCTCAAGAGCCACAGAAACCGGTTGAAATAGACCGTGTCTTACAGTGTCAACCTGAACACACTAAAGAGGAACCCTTTTGGATAGATCAGGATGTCATAATCAGCCCCGAAAAGAGTACAGAAAATGAACCAACACTTCAAGAGACTTTGGATTTACAACCCATGACTCTAGAGCCTAGCCCTGAGCCATCGACAGAATCAAACTCTCAAGCAAGTGAGATTCTAGGGGGACAAAATCAGAATCGGTTAGAATCACCTCTTTCCGCTCCTCCAACATCCAAAACAACAGAGAATCTCTTACAAGAGGGAGGAAATCAAATCATGAAACCCCCAACAACGAAAATACATCATCGGGACACACTCCCGGTACAGCTAATCAATTGGAAAGAAAGGCTAAAGCACCTACTCAAACATTCCTGGCTATATTCAAATGGTCTTGAATGGGACACACTTCTATACTTGATTTGGTTCTATACTTGATTTGGTCGCGGATGGCTTCACAGAAGAGCTCCCGACTCAAAAACACCTTCAATTCATTAAGCAATTACGGCTTATTGACGTCGAAAAGAGGATTGACGTCGATCTTGTACAGTAGATATCGTTGATCGATACCTCCTGGGGGGGTCTGTTGAACCGTGGAAACCACTCATTTCATTATTTATACATGTATTTCATTATTTGCACTGTTTCAGCATTGGGATACTACTCCACTCTTTTTACCCCTATTCTCATATATATACTCTGTACAATAACTGCTTTACAATTCAATCAATTCTACATGACCTACTTGACCCCATACCTTGGAAATCCAACAGTACCTGATGAAAGAAAGCCCTCACTTCCCAAGCACGACAGGTGCCAGGACCCCTCCTCCAGCACCCTTTCCACCACCCCTCCCTATCCTTCTCCCCTCCTTATCCCCCAGAACCACCGGTCCAGGTTTCCAAATCCCCCCCAAATTCCCCAAAACTCCCATCCGCAGTCCACTATCCCTCTTCCTCTCCACCAACCTCTCCTTCTCCCTCCCAAACGCACTCAGACTCTCAATCCCAGGTCCATCAACATGAGCATGCCTATGATTACGAGCGACTTGGCCAGTCTCATGCTGGAGATCATCCAATCTCACGTCCTCGCCTCTGCTTTTCCCCATCTCGCTCGGCCGAGGGTTGAGATCGGTATTTGGATGGCCACTCCGATGCAGAGATGGTGTATCTGCTTTTCTTTTGGAGATGCAGGGGCCCATTATATGGATGTAGGGTTTTGAGTGGGTTCGGTGATGTGAGGACCTGATATGGGGGTGTATTTGTGGAAATCCGCTATTGAATTAAGAGACGATGAAAGACAAGTAGATAGACGAACGACACGATATCGAATATTATCCTCGATTGATTTTGCATCCGTATATCAAGGTCTGAAAGCTAGAAGAGACGACGGGTCGAACAACCAGTCCCTGACTGACTGGACGTAGATACAGATACCTCGATAGATAGGTAGATAGATCGTACCGAGCGAGTGAATTATTCATAGAAATATCATATACCTTCAAAGTAAGAACGCGGGATTGAAGAACAATACTTCACCTTCTAAACTCAAGCTGTACAATTCAGGTAGAAATCCATAGTGCTTGTAAACGCAGCAATAGAAACTCGCCACCTGATCCCGCATCTCATGTGCCCAATCCTGGCCTAGACAGTACAGTAAGAACCCAAGTGTGACGACAACACACCGACTACCTCAACGAATCAGAACTCACCACAGGTGCCAAGTCACGATAAGTACATATCAAACCCATCACTCGATAACCTAACTCACTCGGTCACATCAAACAAGAGAGAACTATTCAAATACAATACACTAATTTTACTATTTTGACTTGGGTTTCAGAAATTGGGGAATTCTACTACGCATACACTCCTCTCCTCATCTCCACGCACACCCAAACTCAAGCCAATACCCTCTCTAGAAATCTCCCCAAAGCTAAGCTCACATCCACCCTCTCCATCCAATTCACCAATCACCCAAGAAAAGAGTGCCGATGCCTTCCTTCCCAAGCAAAAGCAACCATGTGCAAATATCCATTCATGAATTTCTAATCATCGGTACGGTATTCAGTCTCCACCCCCCACCCGTCCTTCCCTCTCGCAATTATCCACAAATTTTTAGGTATTAGAAGAGAGAAAAAACACCAATACAAAGAAACTTGCGGCACCATCTCTTCTCTTCACCAGATGACAGAAGAAAAGAAAATGAGGAGGTGGAAGTTTGCCGCCAACCCACGTCAAGGAAAGAAAACAAATATGAAAAAACGCCATGCGAGGAACGAACTCCGGTGCGCCAGAATGAGGCAAAAATAGAAATGATGAAATTATCTACAATCGATGAAAAACCGAAGAGCTGGTACTGTACACTATCGACAAGGATGATAGGACTGAGTTGTGACGAAAGCCATTAAACGAGTTTTTAGTTTTTGGCCGTGGAAGAGGGAGCAGGTGATACCTCAGGAACCTGACTAGGAGGAGCGGTAAGATTTTGGGGATCCTCGGTAATGACTGGATCCGATGGATTAGTGCCGGGGTGGATTTCGACATTTGGATTTTGCTCCAACTCCTGACGGCCATTTCCTCGTGGGAATCTCACCGAATCAGTGTCGTTGTAATTTCGTTCGATTGGAGACCATCCGGCTACACTGCCAGCAATAATTCCAGCCATGACAGTGGTTGCGCCTAATGCTGAATTGGAACGAGATCGGTTGCCGCGACCACGTTTTCGGGATTCAGGAGTAGGTTGTGGTGAGCCGAAGTGCTCTTCTTGTTGAACTTCGTTATTAGGAGTGTGAGGTGCGGATGAGTTACTTCTGGAGCGAGAACCACTGCGAGAACGGTGAATAATATCGTCGCGGGTCTGTTGCATGGCAAATTTGAGGTTGTTCAATCGCCCACCCTTCATCTTCTTGAGGAAGCTCAGCTCTTCCTTGACGTCTGCAAGGGGCTTGGGGAATCGGAATTGTTCTTCCTCGTCGGAAATCGTAAGTTCGGGCTTCTTTGGTCGGTTTCTAATATATTCAGGGATCAATCGAACAACAAGTTCGTCAGGAATGAGACGAATGACAGCTCCGGCTGGTATGGACAATGCTCCAAGAACAACCGAGTATCCCCACTGAGCTCCGTTAAGGCGAACGATACTGAATGCTGCACCACCAACAAAGATGATCATGATTTGGATTCCAACCATGACAACGTTAATGCCCATGAAGAAATAGTTCTTAGTAACACCTTCAAAGATGTTGAACTTGTTATCAAGACGACGGTTGCTATAATAGAGTCAGTACACGTACGTACAGTAGATGGATAGGTTATACTTACTTCCATTGATTGAAGACTTGCATCCAGACAAAGGTATTGAAGACGAGTGTGTTGACCTGGCCAAGTTCGCGCTCGGAAGTGTACGAGAAAATCTTGTCAGCGGCAAAGTAAAGGATCAGGGTAACGGTAAGTTGGTAAATGGCTTGACCGATGATCATCTTCCACATGGTGACACTGATTAGAGGAGCGGATTTGGGATTTGGTTTGCGGTCCAAAATGCTCTTGGTGGGAGGATCAGTAGCAAGGGCGAGAGCAGCCATGGTGTCCATGATGAGATTGACCCAGAGCAATTGTACAGCAGTCAGAACGGATTCTTCATTGTCGTTGGAAACGGCAGAGATGAATGTAAGGAGGACGGCGGTGATGTTGACGGTGAGTTGAAACTGCAGGAATTTCCTAACCGCATCGTTGACAGCTCGTCCCCACATCATAGCCTTGACAATGGAGTTGAAGTTATCGTCCATCAAGATAATGGCAGATGCCTCTTTTGCAACTTCCGTACCGGCGATACCCATAGAAAAACCGACGTCTGCGGTCTTGAGAGCAGGAGCGTCGTTGGTACCATCACCAGTAACAGCAACGGTCTCACCGAGTTCCTTCAGGCGCTTGACAAGAATACGCTTATCCTCGGGGCTGGATCGGGCAAGAACTTGCAGGCGAGGGATAGCCTGGTCCATCTTTTCTTTGCTGAGTTTTCGGAAGGTTGGTCCTTCCATGATGAGTCCACCAGGAGTGTAAATACCACACTCGGTGGCAATTGCTCGGGCAGTAACCAAGTTGTCTCCAGTAACCATGCGAACGACGACACCGGCCTTTTGGCAGATTCTGACAGCCTCTGGAACACCATCACGAAGTGGATCCTGAATACCTACAATGCTCAAGAGAACCATTTGTTTAAAGATATCATCAAAGACAACATCGCCGTCCACGGTGCGCGCACCTCTCGCTGGCCATTGTTCAAAGTCACGATAAACCATAGCGATGGTGCGAAGAGAACGGGAGGCGTAGTTGTCGATCAAGCCAAGTAGAGTTTGTCGGTTTTCATCGTTCATAGAGGCAGCAATTGGCTCCTTGGTTGGGTCTCGAATGACGGTAGAGCACTTTTCCAAGAGAATTTCGGAAGCTCCCTTGACATAAAGACGGTGTCTGCCATCGTCAAGTTGAACCACGACGCCCATACATTTGCGGCCGGAGTCGAAAGGAATAAGTTGAACGATTTTGCAGTTAGATCTCTCTTGGTCAACTGGGCCCATTCCGAGGTGTTCCTTGGAGAATTCTAGAAGAGCAGTCTCGGTCTTGGAGCCAACGAAACTTTGCACTCCATCCACTTCGCCTTCAAAGGCGGTTGAGTTGATGACGATGGATTGCATGAGTGCCTTTTTGACCTCCGAGTGAAGAGCAGAAACGACTTCTTGAGCCGGAACATTCTCCACAGTGACCGGTGATTGTTGCTTGCCCTTGTTATCGGATGGCTCAGAATCAGCAGGCGCAACGGTTCCGCCAAAACGTGAGCTAGTACCGATAGTTCCTGCGACCACCTTCATCTTGTTTTGTGTCAAAGTTCCAGTCTTATCAGAACAGATAGTGGTAGCGTTACCCATGACTTCGCAAGCCTTGAGATGCCGAACCAAGTTGTTCTCCTTCAACATACGAGTCGTTGCAAAGGCCAGGGCTAGAGTGACCGCGAGAGGCAGACCTTCGGGGACCGCCACAACAACAATGGTCACTGTGACAATGAAGATATTCAAGAAATCCTGACCCTTCTCGGATGGCGTTCCCGGGTTTTTTGGCAAGTGCGCAAGAAACTTGATGAACAAAACAATGAAGAGCAAACCACCTGCAGATGCACCCAACTTGGCAATGTACTCGGCCAAGGTGTTGAGTTTGGATTGCAGAGGTGTGACTTCGGGATCCTCTCGAAGAGACATCAGAGTCTTTCCATAGCTTGAGTTGACTCCAGTAGAAGTGACCAAGAAAGTACCCACACCTTCCGTGACTTGTGCACCAGATAGGATGAACGGATCGAGCTTGCGAAGACTATCGTGGTTTTCGATTGCCGCATAGACAGTGTCTGCAGGGGTTTTGCGAATGATGTCAGATTCTCCAGTGGTTTGAGATTCATCGCACTTGACATTGTGTCCTTCAATAAAAATCCCGTCAACTGGAATCATATCTCCGGGTTCCAAGTGCATGACATCTCCAACCAAGACGTCAAAGACTGATACTTCAATAGTCTTACCCGATCGAATGACATTGACATCGCGATCTTGCTTCTTCTTGTTCAATTTCACGAATTGGCGTTCCTTTTGGTAATCGTTCAAAGATCCGACCACCACCACAATAAGAATAGCTGCAATAATTGCAACACCTTCAACCCATTCGATTTTCGCTGCGCCTGGCTTGTGTTCGGCACCGAATGTTTGATACAATCCAATCGCCAGGGAGATTGCTGCAGCGACCGAGAGCAGAATCAAAACTTTATCGTTGTAGGTAATCCACATCAGCTCGAGCAAACTTTTGCCTTTCTTCACGGGGAGTCGGTTATCGCTGAAAACTCGTTTGCGGTCAAAGAAGGAATCGCCTGATGCTGATCGCCGAGGCGTGGTTGGTGAGGAATCCTTGGAAGACACTCTTGTTGCGGGTGTCTTGGAATCGTCACCATGCACAGTTCGTGTTGCGGCCTCCTTTGCCTGTTCAAAAGTGACTGTTCCATCCAAATCTGCCTCGTCCACACTCAAACCAGCTTTTCGATCCGATCGTAAACCCCTTTCCAAGCCAGCCAGACCTCCAAGTGCATAAAATGCCGATAAACTCTTTGGGTTGATTAACTTATTCAACAGTCCGGGAGTGTAAGCGAAGCTGTTATCTTTTCGCTCAAAATCTCCTTCTGTGCCGGGGTCTGCGTCCAAGGCCTCTGGGTCATTCATGATTTTATCGTTCCCCGGAACATCTCCAACCTTGTCCTTGTCGGCTTGCGTTCCATTGGCGAATGTCTCTCCACTGTACGCGGTACTTGAATGATTTCCTTCATCTGACTCAATGGAGTTTTGTCTGGATCTTAAACCTGGAACCGATAGATATGCACCCCCTTTCTCTCCTCCTCTCGACGTCGGTGAAGAAACATTATGTGGTGAGGTTGGCCGACTCTCTCTGCTGTCGAAGGATCCTGATGGTCGTAGTTCGGGTACTGATATGCGGCTCGCGCCACCTGGTGTAGTTGAATGGTGTGGTCTATCACCTCCTGCTCCGTCGTTGTTGGAAGGACTAGCTGGGTCTCCTGAGAGAGTTGTAGGTGATGAGGACATGTTTTTGAGAGCAACTGCATCGGCGTCCATATCTTGTCCTGAATTTGGATTGCTAACTGCAGAGGTGTCGATGGTAATTGTTGGTCTATATTGACAAAATGGTTAGCGAGGCTGGCGCAGATATAATCAATCCCCGTTCAAGGCATGGCCACTGGGTATGAGTGGGCTGGCTACGCACGCTCTTTGCCTCCGTCCAGCTGGACTAGGCGATGGTGAAGGCGAGACGCCCCCAGGAGCTGACATTGTAGAGGTTGGAATCAAGATTTCCTTGAGTTTGACGACTGTCTAGACTTTCGTGACTTTCACAGCCCGAGGCGCAGAGCCTTGGCGAATATGGATGAGCTGGTAGTGAGTACTCGTCGTCTGCATCTGACCAAGGCTGTGTGGAATTTGGTGAGAGCGCAAAGGTGGTAAAAGGGGAAGAGGTTACGAGGTGACTAGGCTGGGAAGTATATAGGTTAGCCAAAGGCCTCTGGGGGATGCTCTGGGGATGCTCTGTGGATGATGGTAAACAAGACTTTTTGTCCAGTGAGGCCAAGCCATTGGACTGGGGCAAAGTTTTGCAGGTAGCCTTGGCTGATTGCTGCTGGCGAATTGCTTGTCGGGTAGGGTCGCGTCGTGCCATGCCATGCCATGCCATGCCATTGCCATCACCATCACAGAGGACCAAGGCAGTTGTTTGGATGGTGATTCTGAGGGGATAGGGAGTGTGAGTGTGAGCTATTCTGACCTTTGTCTCTGGACTTGGGAGTCTCAAATTGATGGTGAATCTGGGGAGAGGTTGAAGTCTGTCGAGGTGGTGGTCGCAGGCGCAGTCAGTCAGTCAGTTCTTTGTCTATCTCAATCGGATCCTAAGTTAGAGGGCGAGGGGACTGCCGTGCGAATCGGCGGTGATTGTGAATGTTGTGAAGGAGACAGAGGATCGCAATCGTAGCACATTCCATACACGGTCCGTGGGTGGAAGAACGAATAATTCCTACACTGCTGTGTCTGTGGTTGTCTCTGTAAGATAAGACAGAGCTCGGTACACTGTCTACCAATGGTGCTGGTACTGGGCTGGTTGCTGGACTGGGCTGCTGGTCAGTTTGCTGGCAGTGACAGTCACAGTGGCAATGGCTGCATTGACGTGGGAGCAATGAATGTCGCTGAAAGGCCCGCCAGTGTCTTGAGATTCCTGGTGTTTTCTGCACAAGCTTCGACACTCCAGAAAGTCGGAGATGGGCCGGCCAAAGTAAAAAGAGCTCACACAGATCACCCAAAGGTCTCACCCCTCCCCTGCACACTTCCTAAAATCCCTACCTTGCAGCTTGACTAGCGCCAAAAACGAGGCTGTGTAAGAAGCGACCGCCAACAGGCAAGAGACAGGCCAATGAGACCCTTCTGCCATTCACATCACCCTCGACTCGGGCCATTCTCCTCTAGCTTCTCTTAGCATTGAGGAGCGCCTAGGGAGCATGGAAGCGCCACCAGGGCGAGCGGTGATGCTCTCGTCGCTGAGTCGGATTCATCGTCGTGACTCGCAGAAGCAGAATCAAGTTGATGGAGATACTGTAGTTGGATTGGGTTTGTACGCCGCCGCCAGTCGATTAGGTTGATGGCCCATGATGGGGCCCTAGTCTCTGGGCAGCGGGTGACAGGCCGTAGCGAGGGCCGCGAAGCCTATTTTCGTCGTTTCTACTTCTCAGGCCGGAGCCAGATCCACTGGCAGGCATGGCCGGGCATGGACTAGCACTTACCCGCATTACGGACCTTGAGCTTGGAACGGACTGGAACTGGGACTGGAACTGGAACTGGAACTGGAAGCACATGAAATGGCAGGTGCAAGTACAAGGCAAGTCAATCACCAACTGCAGGCGCCAGCCAGTGCCAGCTCAGCGTGTAAAGTTTCAACGCCAACTCATCCATTCAATTGACTCCATCTCCAAGACTTCCAAAGCCGCCGACCCAGCAAAGAAGCTTCTCTGACGACAACACAAGCCGGCCGCCCAGCCAATTATTTATATTTGTTTGGTTTGAGATGCATGATGCCCCTTTTATTTATAATTAGCGAAGGTCGTTGTTTATCTTGATTTCTCCACCACTTTCCCATCTACCGAGACAATAGTTTATGAATTAGTGCCCAGAATATGCCCATCTGCACGACGGGATCCATGGTTTATAGTAATTGGGTGTATATTTACGCCAATTTCTGTTTCTCGCTCTGCAGACTTACCGGAACGACGTACGAAGTACGCGAGTACGTCCACGCATCTAACGTGCTGCTGCTCTAGACCAATAGACGCCAATCCCTCATACTTGTGCATACCTACCTACCTACAGTCCGACGACTTCAACGTGGTTCTCGCTAGCCTGTTACATATCCCGTACGCCCGATTTGTATAAGCACTTAGTACAAGACTTTGTATGGTACACGTCTCTGTATTGTACACAACTGTATCCTGGTGATACTTGCTACTGCAAAACTACGTGTGATGTATCCCAACTTCCTTTGAACTCTTACTTGGCCATGCAAGCCTCGTGGTTATTCATCTCCAGCGAAAACGACATCACCACTTAGCAAGCGAGACTCCGAGTAGAAATCCTTCCTCAGGACCCGACTCCGTCAGATTCAGACCGCTCATTGGTAAGCTGGTCGTCAGCGCAATTCTCCAGACGCCACACAGAATATTCCCCGACATCTGCATCTCTCGAGTACGGAGTACAGTACAAGTAAGTAAAGAGTAAGTCTTAGGCGGTGAGGTGCAAGCCTGATAGCCCAATTGGAAGAGGCATCATTTACAACGCATCCTCACCCGGCGACTAGTTGTACACTGCTCACTTTACACCATACAAAGCCCTTTTCATCTACTCCTTACACTGACGGAGAAACGTTACACCCATCAGAAGAGGATGATGGTTGTCGTCAACTTCAAGCTGCCCCGACATGGAGTCATTACCATCCAATCTCCCCACAAAGCATCTGACTGACGGAGCCCAAGAGCATGTCCGGATTATGTGATCTCAACGTGCCTGCCGTTCGCACATCTTACTGATCCTCTTCTATTCGGCACTTTGGACGCAGTGCATGGCACTAAATTACTCTTGCATGTGGATGAAAAGGCAAACGAGGCAAATGCTTTCAGAAACCGGAAAAGGGCAGGTTGTAACGATGAGCACGAGGCTGGGTGCAGAAACATCTGGCATCGAAGCACCAAACAAACCCTCAAATCATACCCGTCAACAATCTGATCGTCACACCCCAATTCCAAGGAAGCGACATTTCTTGCTTCGCGCTGCCCCGCCCTGCCCTGCCGAGAAAGCGCTCCCGAAAACGAAAATGTTGCACCTGGAATTTCACACCCGAAATTCCTAATCTTCCTCCTATCTCACGCTTCATCACCTTCCTTCATCGTGTAAAATCACCGTCCCAGCACCCGGGCCGAGTTTTTCTTTCATCTGTTCGCCAACGGTTTACCCGCTGGTCTCCAGCAATGCCCCCCTTGGCGTCTTGGCTAATAACACCACTTCCAATGTCTTCTTCGCCTTCCAGATCCAGGAACAGAAGAAAACCAACCTCACAAGCAAAACTTCGTCACGGATAGATGGCAAACTACAGGTGAACTCACTAACAAGAAATATCCATGTAGGAATCCGAGACGAACTTCACAGCCCACTTGGGAGAGCTGCACGCACTGTAGGCCAAAACATGTTTCGACCGTACGGCACTAACTCAGATCATCTTAGTGGGGTGGGTAAAGAGGCACAGTCGAGATTAGCGAGAGTGGGTTGAACGACAGGCAGATCTGCAGCACTTATGATGGTCTTTCGCCTGCGTGATGGAGATAGGGGGTCAGTCCATTGGATGTAGGCGCTTACTTACAGCTTACCCGTATCACCATTTTTCTTTGTTGGTGGTTACGCAACGTCGAATGTGCTTGAGGGGGCTGAGTATATTGCGTGGTCCTTACCAAGGGGTTTTTTTTTTGCTTCCTTTCTTTTCTCAACGATTTTTTCGTTTACTATACTTTTAATCGCTCATTACTCTGTGTATGAACGGGGTTTGTCGGTCATGTCTGTCGCCTCCCACATGCAAACCACTCCACTTTATGGGTTTTTAGGTTGGGTAGGAGGCTGAGGCGACGTTTTCGACAATCGCCTCTTAGTAAATGTCTCATGTGGGATCCCGATAGCCCGATAGGATTTTGAGATATGAATTCGAATGTTTCTTCGCTTAAATTGATTTGGAAGGTATAAAAGTATGGAATCGCATACTACAGCGTCGTCTTTTGGTTGCTTTCTTGATCCCTTTTTTTTGTTTTGGATATCACATATGCTCTACTAAAAAGTTGAGAGAGTGATTATGATAGGATGTAGTCACGAAAGTTTTAAATACTAATCTAGGAGGTGTTAAATCATTCAAAGTCCAAAAATCGTTACTTGTATATACCTGGAACTTGAGCTCAGCGTGACGTAATGAGTAAGAAACCTGGTCATTGCTCCGTACACGCTATCAAAAAGTCATTATACCACAAGTCTGACACAAGTGCATCAATTGTCCCATTTTACTTAGATTCATGAGGAGTGAAAAGTATTAGTTGTTCTAAACTATTCGTATAATTGATTTAGTTGTGAGGTCTTTAGTATAATAATATTTTTTATAACTCTGGCGTGTATATAGTAATGCCCGGCTCTCTTACACGTTATCTTCACTACCTTACTACATTATATAAGAAAATGCTTGTAAGAACGTTACGTGACGAGTAAGATATTATCTTTACTAGGTTAATACTTTACAAAATAAGATTCTTATGGGAACCCGGCGAAGTCGCTAATATACCATTTTCGTAGACCTCACTCTCCATTTCAAATATCCAATCCAAGGTTCCCGAAAATGGTTCCGGTAGTAGATTACCCTGTCACGAGGCCTGATTGAAAGAATGCATTGAGAAATGGAGGTGTTAAGGCGGAGTTCGCTTATCCTGTAGGGTTGTAAGGGTTTGTAGAGATTTGTAGTGTTTAGTAATTTCTTTTTGTTTCACGTTTTAATATAGAGGGATTTCGTGGGGGTGTTACTTGGTGTCGAGGACTTGTTTGGTTTTTAGGATAAAGATATAGGATATAGGATATATACGGTTTAGAGGTTATTATATTATTTAGTTTTAATTTCTTAATAGAGAGTAATTATATTTTAGTACCCTTATAGCGAATCTTTAATATAAAGATAGGTTAAGAGGGCAAGGTACTCGGTAGATGATTTACTAATATCTGTCCTCGCGATTTAGAGTAGACTTTGTTATTGAGATTAGTAGGTTTTTATTATTAGTTAAGTTCTACTAAGTCTTGTTTTTTATTTTTTATTTTATTTTTTAGGTAAGTTGAACTAATGTGAGAAAATAGAGGATAAAAGGTTACTATGAGAGCTTTTTATTCAGACCCAGGGTTCTTAGGGGTTAAGACGAATATAAAACTTTATTTTTGTACCTTATTATATTTGAGATATCTTTCTATATCCGTGGATTCTTACTTCTCGTACCTACCTAACTTGTTCCTATCGTTGTTAAGCTTTGAGCTACCGGTAGGGATGTTCCAACTCAATTTTCGATAATCATATATATACAAGGATGTCGCCACTTTACCTACTTCTTTATTTTCTCCTCCGATGATATTAGACACAGCCTCACCGTATACGAAAATCCAAGAATCTATACGAATTTCGTAATAGTTCAAAGTTACTACACCACCTTATCAGGTTCCGTTAACTTCTCGCTTTCACCGCTAGTGCTTGAAGCCAAATCTTTTTTTCTTCTTCGTCTTGATAATGGCAATGTTGATGGTTGGCTCACGTTACTTCGTTGGCATTGTTGGCACTTTGCTCAGCCCCCTTTTTTCATGGGGAAGCGAAGAAGCGAAGGATGTTGTGGATATGTAGGGTACACACAACACACAACACACCACATCGTGTCGTATCAGGATCAGGTCTATCTCTTGCGTTCCTTAGGCTAGGACTCGTATTGTAGGAAGGCTACAAGTATGTAGATGGTTGATACGTGGTATTGTGATTGTGATTGCGATACATCCGAAGTCGTGGTCTTGGTAGGGGAAGGGGAAGGGGGCTGTGGAGAGTTTCGTGCCTGGCGGATAGGGAGAGCGAGAGTTGGTGTGAGGACGGGTAGGGAGGATGGGTTCATGGTACAAGTTGAGGAGCGATGTAAGGGGATATCTAACTTTTCGCTTTTCGAGAAAAGCTCAGACTGGAGTGTATGAAGATATTGCAATGCTATCTCCAAGTAAGAGTATGGAAGCTGGGTATATTTTCAGCCTGCGCCTAGATATTTAGGTAATACACTTCTAAGACATTCGTTTATCCTATACTTCAGGAGTGTCTGGATTTTTATAACAGCTTTTCAATATTCTTCTCATCAGGTGACTGTCACGAATCACGTGTTTGCACGTAATGAGTGAAGACCAGGCGGCGTTCTGACAGGACAGGCACATCAGGATAGTTATAGCAAATAGGGATGCTTAGACTAGCAGCGATCCAGGGATCTCACTTGGATAATATCACGTGATATGATCACATGACCATTGGAGCTTGCAGGAGCTTTGCGTGGAGCTTATGGAACGTACGTTCCATAAGATCCAGGTCTTGGGATTACAAGACCCTCGAGTATGAAGGTTCTATATAAGACTGGAACGTACGTTCCATAAGATCCAGGTCTTGGGATTACAAGACCCTCGAGTATGAAGGTTCTATATAAGACTGGCACGTCTGCCACTAGATAGGAGCTTCGTGCTCAACTTAGTTATCAATCTTATCATATTAGTTTGACATCTTTGATACAAGTAACGAGTTCACTTCCAAGTGAACAACCCGATAGTCTTCTTCTTATCATAGCATACCAACCAGCGAACACCCAGCCAAGTTTAGTTAGCCAGTTTGAGTATTCGTTACACTTTGAGCACCTGCTTTAAGTCGAAACTATCAC